CAATATGTTGCTATCACCTAAGACACCTCAATATGAGGCATAACATTGCATTATAGCACTTCCTACTTTAGCAGCATAATTTCTATACCCACAGATTCTTCCCTTTTAGGACTTTCTTCAACAAGAAACCACTGCAAATGATCAATCAATTCTTTTTGAAGGTGATGATGAAGAATTCAGGAAAGTAATTCTTTTTGATCTACTACAATTCAACAGATTATCTTGACTTTTGAACAGAATTCAGTGGAAGTTTCTCATACCACAGCACTTACTCTAGATAATGAGCTCAGTCATGAGATTTCTGTCTTCAGCAGTCTGAGCATGGTTTCAGTGTGTCTTGTATTTTTCCTGCAGCAGTTGCTCAGTAAGATTATTAGATATTCAAGAATGTGCAATCCTTTCAGGTTTACTGGATACTTAACACTGTAGGATTTTTTCTAAATATTTTTAAATCACTGCTACTGCTGTTTTTTTTATGGGGTTCACTCAAATACTGTATGCAAGTTCTTTATGCAAGTCTCTTCTGGCAACAATTGATTGTTGTAAACCAACACTGCATCTTTGAATATCCCTTAGTTATTCTCCACCTACCCTGGGACACCATGTGCTGTCTTTTGACAGGTGCAACAAAATAACGCTAGAAGCTACCCAGATACTTAAAACAGATATCTAAAAAATACAAAAAATAAGTAATTTTCATTGTAAGAACAGCAAAGTTACAAAATTTTAAATTCAAATTGAGTATTTTTATTAGCTGTTAGAGAAATGCACATAGTCATAAAAATAATATGTGTCATTTCATTACAGTAACCAAATAGCGTTGTCTTTGCTATATAGAGCTATATATAGTTCTACAAGAATTTCACAACTGAAGCCTTTTCTGCATTGTTAAATGATCAAAGAGCTGAATATATGTGTTATCTGCTATGAATAAGATTAGCAGAGAACCTAAAAATTCTGAGTGAACTTAGAGGAAGCAGGAAGGATTCAATCTAATAACAGGAGTTATCTGAAGAAAGTAATTTTCAAGTACGTTTCAGTTTTCATCTGCTACTGTTTAGAAATGATGAAAAGCATGAGTTGGAGTGTGGGAGTTGACAATGGCTACAGAGCACACCTGAGACACAGAAAAGTCTGTCTCAGTTTATGTTTCTCTGCTACACCCAAATGGCTCCCCTCAGAGGCATCTGAGTTCAAGCAGGGACCAGGTCCCCAATGTACAGTGGAGAACAGCCCGTGTTTAACTTGTTCTTCTACAGAAAGAAGCAACACAATAATATGAGCCAAGGAAATGACAGTAGCTGCAAACCTATAAAGCTACTGTCATAGATTAAATGCAGTGAAAATGAACTCCAGGCAATAAGACAACAATAGCTTCTATGCACGTCAAGAACTGCTTATCAGAAAATCCCCATTTGCCATCAATGATTAAGAAGGGTGTTTTTATAACAGAAATGGCATCCCTATCCAGTGTGTCACTTCATCTTGAATATATTAATATATCTTACTGAGAGACTTTTATTTAATCTCAAGGCATCCACCAGTCTGTTGGAGCAACTATTGTCTGTAGGAGAGGATAAATAGCTGGGTAAAGGATAATAAAAGGAGCCTTCTAGGGAGATTGAACACTGAACAACTATGTTCATGGCAGATTTGCTTGGAATAATGACAACTCCTTTTAATTTGAAATTATTTAGAAGTACAACTTCTTTAATTTTTGTTTTTCTTAACGTGTAAAGGAAAGAGGTATTCTGAGAGCAAACTTACTGGACAGCTCAGAGAACTGGAAAATTGCAGTAAAATAGAACTGAAATTATTTGTGAAGCACTGGGGCAGGACCTTAAGGGTGCTGCAGGCTTAGAGCCTGCCTGCTGTTTCAGAAGGGGCTTGATATACTTGGCTTTGGGGAAGCCCTGACAATTTTACTACTAACTTCACTGTGGAAGAGACTAACAGTTATCTTTATGTAACAAGGGTTTACTATCCAGATGCTTTGGAGAACACAGGTACCGTTAATTACTGGGAGATTAATTTGATCCTTGTAGTTAACCTTCTGACAAAATGAGATTTTATGTCAGCTGAGAGACTGGAAGAGAGCTCTCTCTTTTTAATATCATGCCTTATACAGTTCATCAGCTTTACTGATTAGAAGTCTGACAGTTCTTAATGTCTCCTGGTATACTGCACTGGCTGCTCCTCAGCCACTGACAGATAGGCTTTAGTTTTTATCATGCTTGGAAAAGAGATGTTTAAAGTCTGCTGCTGCTTCTCCAGCACAACATGCAGTTCCAGAAACACTGCTGCAGAGCAACAGATAAACATTGCACAGGAACAGGCTTTGCACTCCCAGAGCTCAGTGTTTTGTGGCATTCTGTAGCTGCTTACCTGATAAAGTACCATCAGCTCTTCAGAGCACTAGCAGTGTCACGCAGACACGAGATGATGTCACATATGCCTTGTCCCCAAACCAACACATGATTTTGAAACACGCTGTATGCTCTGCATGTAACAAAACCTAAACAAGTCTTTATTTTGTATTGGGAAAAAAAAAATCATGGTGCAACTTCCTTGTTTCTTTCTTTCCCCATTTCTTACCTATATGGGCTGCTTGCACTGGCTTCCATTAATTCAGAATTCCCAATTTTGTACTGCTGTCTGTAAGCCCTTCAGCAGACCTGGTGCTACAATGCCCAACACTAAAAAAAGTGGCTGAAAATTTTCTTTTCGATGTCGTTCCGCACAAATGTACCATGAAAGACCAGTGTGTGGGAAGACAGCTTGACCACAAAGTTCTCATGTGCGTGGCCTTATTGGAATTTCTTTTAACTGACAGTTTTTATAATCCATCTTGCCAATTAAACATATCTGAGAAGCCTGAGCCAATGCTTAGTACAGAATTACATGCCTTCTCAGATTAAAAATTTGAAATCTCAGCAAACAAGAGATCTATTTCTTGGAAATGTTTTGCACACAAGTTCAAAGAAATTTAAGTGGCAGAATTAAAAATTAAGTGGCAGATTTTGTTTATTTTACTTCTATAAAACAAGAGACTTAATGCTAGACCAACCTTTCAAAATGTTACTGGAGGCAGATGAAGGAATGCCATCTTATGCTATCTGACCTTATCTTGCTTTGCCTTCCTTTAAATTTCCTTTCATTTTTTCCCAGTAATACTGTGCCATTGCAGCTGTCGCAGCCAGAGCCTTTTTAAACCTGCCGCGTCCCATTGTCTGTGCCAGCAAGTCACTCAGCCTTTAAAAGTCCTTCCCCTTTGCTGGCTTCCAAGAAGCATTTAGAGTCTTCTCCCAGTCTAATGTGTATAATAGCCATCACCTATCTGACCCTGATTTAAGTGGAGACCAAGTGAACTGGTAGTCCCCAGGCTCTGTCATTGAATTGGTTCCTAAAGGAAAAATCGCTTCTAATGTGAAAAATGCTGTGGAATAGAAGAAGTTGTAAAGAATCTTAAGGTCACCTACTGTCCTTTAAATCCATGCTATAGTCTAGGACTGCAGCCTGTGACCCTTTAGTCTGCTGAAACATTTCTCTTTAAATCTGTTTTGATTCTTTAAAAGCTGAGTGTGATGTAGTTACATGGCATATACCAGTTTATCTCTGCTCTACCCATCCCACATTTTCTAGTGCCTTCCACTCTGCTGTACCAATGAATTGACTAATAAATATTAACTACCGTAGCACACATAAATCTTTGAAAGTCTGTTACTAGGTTAACAGGCTTTCTGTGACCTTAACAAAATTCAACAAAATACCAAAAAGAGATGTTTCACTCAGTATTTAAAAACTTGAGGTGATAAAAAAAATCACAATAGGGTGCTGATAAATGTAAATTACTGATGACTACAGTTTTCCAATGTTTTTATAGTCTCAAGTGGACAGTTAATCTGACATATAGATCTCAGTTTTTTAGTAACCTGCTTTTATTAAGAATAAGATACAGATTTTTCTTACTCTATATAATTATTCTTTGTTCCATTTATGAAGAATTATGTACTTCATTGGCTGTAGGAGGATGGAAGTTCTGTTCTGTTTTTGCCTTTCCTATTTGTTCTGTGATACTTGAGGAAAGTAGTAACAACTTTTTTGTTCACAGCTTTCTTGTTAAGTGTTTTCTGATCCTCCACTGACCTCTTTGAGGGTGCTTCTTGAAAGAACCAACTGATATTTGCCTATTCTTATTCCAAGAAATAACTAGGATTGTCAAGCAGTGAAAGCACCAACTGAAGTTACAAAAGGATGGGCAGTTCCATTTTCTGTACACAGAAAATTAAACTAAGAATGACCAGTCTATAAATGAAGAACTCATTTTGCAAAGCAGAACGTCACCTGAGAGTTGTGCTACTGTAACTGTTATTTATAATTTATATTTGGAAAAATCATACAGAAGCATAAGACAGGAATTAGCATCCATTATGCCTTTTCATGTCATCCTGTTATCCCATTTAATAGAATGATTATCCAGGTGTTTGCAATGAAAACATGGGGCAGAAGACAATGGGTTAATACAACAAAGAGAGGAAGAGAGGGAAAAGGTAACAATGAAATTATTTAGATAAGCAAAATGAGAAGCAGACAGGGCCCAGCAGTGGGTAAATATAGTCAGGGGGCAAAAATACATTTTAATAAGCCTTGAAGAAGACTTAGTATATATTTCTGCAAATCTTCTTAGCACTGTTTATATAAAACTCAATGTTATTTAAAGTATTCTATAATTTGGTTAATCAGAATTCTTCCAAGGGAATGAAATTATCATAGTTGCTTCATAAATATGTGTAGCATGAAAATCATGATGTTTTGCTTATTTTTGCTTTGCTCAGTCTTGTTTTAGTCTTTCACTACACTGCAGTTTTTGTTACAGAGTGTCTGTACTTTTTACCAAAAGACTGACTTCCCATGTTGGTGGAATTTCCTAAGACCAGGGAACTTCCATTTTGTTATTTTATCACTTTATCACCGGCTGTTTTTGTGGCTGTAAATTGCAGGTGAATCTGTCTGGAAGGTCTTCTTCTTCACTCCCAACTTCAGTCCTGAGGACTCCAATGGTTGCTATGATTCTCATGTTTGCTTCTGCCATGGAGGATTCATTACACGACACGACCCTCCGCTGCTCTTCGATCTGTCCAGAGACCCTGAGGAGAAAGTGCCACTGACTCCAGAAACTGAGAGCCATTTCTACGAAGTCATCAGGGTCATACAACAAGCAGTAGACAACCACGCCAGATCCCTGCATGCTGTTCCTAACCAGCTGTCATGGGACAACCTTCTCTGGAAGCCATGGCTCCAGCTCTGCTGCTCATCTCTCCTTCAGTCTTGTTACTGTGACTATGAATCAGGAGGGGGTTCACTGCAGGTGCAATTGGGATAAATACGCTGTAATTCCCTTTCAGAAACTGGACCAGCTGAGTGTGAGTGTCTGACTTGAACTTGGGGTACAAGCCTTCAGAGGGTTTTGTTGTGTCGATGGAGGACCAGTCTTCAAATACGTATTGCAGTAGAAGAGAATTTCAGTCAAGAAAACATGCCAGGAGAGGGAAGGCAAGACACACCTTCTCTTATCACACAGCATGAAGGACACGTTGCTGTCCTCATATACACATGGGTAGAATTGTAGGCATTTTCTATGGGAGATAATTTTCTAGATTTGCAGCCTGGGCTTTTGTCTTACACAGCAAAGAATTTACCGATCAGTTCTGTCAATCACAACTACTAAATGCACACTTTCCTGTCCTTTTTACTAAGTGTTATCCATTAGTAGGACATAGCACTGAGTAATTGAAAACAGAGAGATAATAGTAGAGGGATCCTCCTGTGACAGTCAATTTGTAACTGATAAATAGGTTAAGAGAAGACTTGCAACAAATCTCTGTTAACAACCATGACAAATATGAAAAAACTGACAGCTTGCCAACAGTCTAACTTTGAATGTGCCATAAAATGCACAGAGCTATGGTAGTAGAAGACCTTGTGTCTGTATTAAAATGATGCTCCCCAACATCCCTGCTGTCCTATTGCATGGCAGCAACCTTTGTTTCAAAAGGACACCACTTGAATTGCACCAGCTGTGTGCTTGAGTGTGTACCACAAGTCTCCATATATATATATATATATATGTGTGTGTGTGTGTGTGTGTGTGTGTCTGTGCATAAATCCTTCAATCCCTGATATAGGCACACCCTTATGATCATATTCCAACTGATAAAAGAAAAGATTTGGTCCATACTTGATATATGAGTTCCAAATTCACATGATACTACAAATTTGTCTTTCACTTATTTGTCATACGTATTCTTCCACTGATGAAAGTAATCACAAATAAATAAAATTTGGTCTTCCTTTAAATATCTTTGCCATCTTTTAAGCTCTCTGAATAGGATCTATCATTTTCTGAAAATAAGCTTGGGCTTGAGTACTTAAAGCCAAATATAACTGTCTCTGAGTTCTCAGCAAGGTCTTGGGAAATCTACTGTCCTCAAGGGCTAATTTTTGTATCCATTTTTATCTCTGTCTTATTCAGGCACATTTTCTTTCCCCTCTACAGGCAGACAAACTATTTTCTTTGGCAGATTGCAGATGAAAAGAAGATATCAGCAAAATACTAAAATGATTTGATGCCTGATAATAGAAGGTGACTTGCTCCTTATCAGAAAGCAGCAGTTAATTCCCACATTACAATGTATTAAAAGCTGTTTGGGGCAAAACTGATCTGTGATGATAGTAATGCAGTAGCTTCAGTCAGCCAGCATTAAGGTTGTGACCCAGTTCTTGTAAGCTATTGAAGCCTTTTCTTTAAAAATATATTGTGATAAATGGTATATTTCTCTGTCTGTAAAACCTAGGCTTTATTTGATTTTTCCATTGCAGTTTCATTCAAAATTTCATTCTCCACAATACCCAGAAGCCTCTCCTGGGAAATGTACTTATTCCTTGAAGTCCTATTTTTGATGTTTCACCTTGTGTTCATGATCTTAATTATGCCCTCAGCAAACTCTCTGTAGGAGGCAAAGCCCTGTGACCAATATTTATCACTGAATGTACTACATAACCTTAGGAAGAAAAATGCCTCTCATTTGAATACAAATATTCTTCCATGAGAGTGGCTGCCTTTCAATGTCATGGCAGGATCTGTACATCCCAAATTTTTGGTCCTCACCATGTGGCCCTAGAACCCCTTGGGGCATGGCACTGGTGCCAGCATGTTCCTCCTTGCAGCCAAAGGGCAGCACTCAGGCCCAGCTGTGGCCAGAGTGCAGAAACACCACGGTGTGGAGGGATGCTCCTTCCAACTCCCACAGCTTACACAAAAGCTTTTCAAACAAGTACTCCTGAAGAAAATGGGAAAAAAAAGAAAAAAAGTGATGTGCTCAGTATACAGTGCTAACTCAGACAAAGGGTTTGGTGTCATTAGTTCTACTTGGTTTCCACAGTTTCTGGTCTGTGACCTTTGCACAGTACTAAATGTATATTCTCAAGGACACCCACATTGACTTTTTTTAATCAGGGAGACGCTGTGTTGCTATTATTTCTTTTTCTTTCTTTTTGCAGGTGCAAGAATTCTTTGTTCTGCTAGGCACAACAGCTGTTCTGTGCTGCTTGATCAAATATCAAAAATGATGGCTTTGCTACTGCTCTGATTTCTTCTTGCCTGAATATGATGTTTTTTCATACCCTCCTTGGCTTTTGATGCCATCTTTCTAATCTCCTTTCTTAAAACATCCACACCCCTGAAATATTTTTCCATCTATTTCTTTGCCACTTTGCCAGAACAGTCCTTCTGTTTGCTTGTCATATTGATTGTAATGGCTATTTTGCCTTAATCAATCAGAAAATGCAAAGTAGTCTTTGTCACAAAGTTTGACTTGTAAGGCTCCTTGACTCTGCTAACCTCCTGCTTATTTAAGGTCCAACAGGAATTAACTTTGCATTATGAAATATAAGGAATTAAAACATACCTGAGATGTTGTTTAATGTAAATAATATAAAATATTTCTTTTTTGTGGCACAAAATTAATATTTTACAAAATATAATTTAGTACAATGTTTCATACTTTGACATAAGCAGTGAAATCTGAAATCCATTCTTAAAATTGTTCCTTCAAGAAAGATTCTGTGAAGAACAGGGCAGTATTTTTCGTATTTTTTGTTAATACCATTTCATTTAATACCTAAAATAAACCTTCCTTGCATTGCAAATGTATTATATCTTTCAGTACTATACCTTCTGTTCTGGAGATGGTGTGTCAGATCAGCGCAATTAAAATAGTCTTGTTTATCTGCAAAATAAAATGTGAAGGACAATATAACATTTGTGTAATGGCACTGCCTGATCCAACAAGGAAAAGTTTTGTTTTTAAGAGCAGGTTATTGATGGCATATACCTGTTTCACAATTTACTAACAAGGAAGGCTCAAGGAGAGTGTGCTGCTCTGATACTTAGAAACTGACTTTCAATGTATCATTTAATGAGCACTGTTCTTGTAACATGGTGCCTGTTTATAGGATATGTCATTTTAAACAGGGAGTTCAGCCTCAGAGGGTAGTGTATTCCTCAACAGTACTGTTTAACAGTATCATGTCCTAATTTGTGACAGAGTCCCTGTACAGCCCAGAGCAAGTCATTTGACTCATTTCTCAGCTCCTCTGCTGCGCTCAGGAGAGGAAAACAGCATTTCTCTAACTGCTGGGAATACTGAAAGAACAGAAAATGCTGAAAGTAGTAAGCTGGTAAAGGTGAACTTTCTAGTACCTTCTCTATAGAACACACAATTTAAAAGCTGGAAAAATAGGAATTAGAATATCCCCCTATATGAGGCTGTAGGTGATACCCTTAACTTGAGGTTTGCAGGTGGGTTCTGTGTGTTATTTAGTGGGATTGTGATCTGGAGGAGAAAGAATAGATGGCTAAAAAAGGTACATGCTTAGGATTCAGAGAAAGATTTAAGTCCCATTTTTATAATTATATTTACTCTCTTTTTTAGCAGTCAGGAAACTATGTGGGATAATAAATAATGTTTTTCCCTCAGGGACTGGATGTCACAGGTTCTCAGCTCTTAAAAATAGAGATGTCCCAACTTGCCTCCAATTATGGTCAGAAAAATCAAAAGTTAGAAAAAAAAGGGAAATGGGAGCTTTGGAGAGAGGTGTCTGTCGCAGACATTTTTCCACAGAAATCCTTTCTTTCAGATCTCTGTATCTTCTGGGAAGCAAAGGGCCCCAGAAGATGAATGTAAACAATTGTTATCAGCTGCTGTGGAATGCAACAGGGGTTTCTTGATTGGCTCATTTTCTATGTTTATAATTAAGGGCCAATCACCAGTGCAAGCTAGGGGACTGAGTCCCTGGACACAACTTTGTTTTAGATTCTTTCTTTTCTATTCTTAGGCTAGCTAGCATCTGCAACCTCTCTCTTTATTCTTATTAGTATAGTTATAATGTATAATATATCATATATCAATAAATCCAGCCTTCTGATCAAGAAACAAGGTTCTCGTCTCTCTCACCACGGCGGCCCACTCAGGCGCTGTAATAGGTGTCAGCTTGCTTAAATCCTGCTGAAAGTTTGCAGAGAACTAAGAGAATCTGTTCCATATACTTCACAGGTCAGCGAGAATCATCACTTGCCAGCAATCATTTATTTCACACTGTAGTAATAGGAAATCTGGATATTCAGATATGTGGACAATGTAAAAAATTTTACTTAAAATATCACTTGATACAGGAAAAAAGGGAAAAAGAAGAAGAGTGCAAGCATAGCTACAAAAATAATATGTTCTATTGAACTATGTTTATTAAAATTGTTTTAATTTATGTTTTTGACATCCATTACTACAATAATTTTTACTTACATTAGAACATAATAGTTCTGTGCTTAAGACATATTTCTTCATCTTCTCTCTCATTTCCCTTTCCTCTGGCATTGCCTGTGCAGCATCCAAAATATGCAGTAAGGAGCAAGAGGCAGCCACCCTGCCCATATACACTACAAGCACTGGTCAGACATGTGGGCAGGAGGAAAGGCATGGGCAAAACTCTGCACTGGAACCACAGGGAAGCAAACAGTGTCTGGGGCTTATCTCCAATCTAAAGACAGAGATCTGGAAATTGACCCTGAGATTAGGTCAGCTGGTTAAACTGGTTAAGCTGGTTAGAGAGCAGAGCTAATAACACCAGAGTTCAGGGTTGGATCCTCGTGGGGGCTATTCACTGAAGAGCTGGACTTGATAATCCTTCTGGGTCCCTTCCAACTAAGAATATTCTGTGATTCTGTGAAATTGCTGGTTCCTCTGGGTCTATCAGAGACTGCAGGTGACCAGGAGGAACGAGGTCCCATATGTGGCCAGCTGGACTGTCATGTGTTCTGCAATAGGGTCCTTCTGTGTCAGGATGTCAGGTGGAAATTAGTTGGGAACCCACACCTCTTGCCTCTGAATAATTATATCAAACAGACTGCTCCTGAATCATCGTACATGAGGTGACAGATCTTAGTCTGACACTCTAAGGCAGCAACAGTCTCACACATTTTTTTTGCTGGAGGACCAGAAGACCTGAGCCAGGCTCTAGGGACTCCCAGTTTACAGGCTGCTAAAACTGCAAATAATTCAGAGTCCTGGAAACACCTTGCCACATAAGACTGACAGATATGGCTTTTCCATGCTCTTCTTCGTAGCTTTTATTTACATCAAAACTAATAAGAATCTGCTTAGAATCCCACACATACAGAAAACAAAGGATTGTGCAAATTTTTCTTAAGATCCACCCCTCCTTAATTTTATTCTGTGAGTTTGGTACTGAGAACAATGGGATTGTGCCAATGCAAGGCACAGCAACTGAAGATTTCTTATATATGTGGAAGATGCTGAATTTCAGACTCCCACTGGAGTTTGTGCCATACTGGTTAGTGAGATAACGACTGGCTTGATTATCTGTGCATCTCTAATTGCTCTGTCAAGGTTATGAAACATTTCTGAGCTTGGGAGATGTGAATTATAGGTTTTGCCATGTTTATGCAGCATCTCCTGAATGCCTAAAGAACATCCCTTTAATATTAATCATATTAGGTTCCCTATGTAGATTAATGTTAGTCTTATCTATTAGAAAATGGTGTTGCAGGTACTTTCCTTGGAAAATAAAGCTATATTAGAAGATAACAAATGCAGCATGTGGGGGTCAGCTCAGTTATAAAAACCCTCCAATGCTTTTTGTTCTACCTTTATCCAATAATAAAGCCTTTTTAAGCAGATAATACGACATTTTACCTGATTTATGTGAAAAATACTGTGAAATAGTTTAAATTATAAGGCAGAGCTCTTCATTGGAACATTTATTTTAAGATAATTTGATACAAAGTTGCTCTGGGTAGCAATACTTATTACAAAGGATTAGATACAAAGCATCTCAAAAGCCTTATGGACTCAAGTTGGGCTGCGAGAGAGTTAATGTGGTCTTTCTTGCTCACAAATTAAAAACAAAGTAATGAAGAAAAATCCTCAAACTTTAAGAATAGTTTTCCTGTGCTGTTAACGATAAAAAGAATACTTGAAATTTGTGCTATGTGCGAGAATTTTGTCTTTTTTTTCCTCATTGTTATCTTTTATGTTATAGCTCCTCCTGCCAAGCAGACAATATTTATACTCAGGTGTAGGAGAATGTGCTGATTGGTTTGTAAGTGTCAACCTTGCATTGTCATATGCAATACATCGGGAAGTAACTGATCAATGCCACTCTTCTGGAGACTGTTTAAACTTCAGCGTGATTGTTAGGATCAGTTTTAGATCCTAACATTTCCCTGTCTGATACCCATGAGAGACAGAGTAATTCAGAGATGTGTCATCGCAGACCAAGCTTTCAAAAGCATATTACTCTGCAAAATGAGCTGCCTCACACCCCATCCTTCTCCTCTATGAAATTTACCAAAAATAAATGGAAATCCTCTCTGGTACTAAGCTTTATGCTAGCAAATCACAACCTTCTTTGATTATCTTTCAAGAAAATTCAGCCACAAAAGACCAACCCCAGCAGCTAAGCACTCTGCCCTTTCTGGATTAATGACAAAAATGAATGCTAGAGCTCCAGCAGATGCAGCAATGTGTACTAAAGGAATACTGCCCATGCTCAGTTTTTATGCACTCCATTCAAGGCTATGTAGAGAGTCTCCATCTTCACATATTAAACCTATGGTTAAGCTATCTCCTGTGTTTTTCCTTTTGCTCTCCAGATACATTTTTGGGGAATGTAGAAATCATGATGTAGGAAAGTGTACAGACTGTCAATGAAAAAAAAAGCTCTTCATCCTCTGACTGTGCCTCTGCATGGTCAAAAATTTTAAATGCAGCAAACTAAGAAGAGGGCAAAATTCCCTAGCGGTAAGGACACTCACCTGGGCTGTGATGACAGCTTTACTATGAAACTTCAAGACTGATTAAGTGTTTCTAATCACATAAGGTACACACATTGCCTCTGGAGCAGAGAGGGATATACCTTATGGCTATGAAGTCACTTTCTGTCTCCATTACTCAACACCTGACCTGGTGAGAGTAGCAGCCCTTGCTTCAGAGCAGCAAAACTCCTACAAAAAAGGCAGAAAGCACAGCGTACTTCTCCTTGCCCATCCTCTTCTCACACCCAGGCAGATGCTTAGGAATGCTTTGTTTTAACTGCACGTCCCATCTAGAAAAATGTCAAGGAGAGGAGGCTTGAAAGTATTATCTGTCTTCTTTGATCCCAGGCTTAGAAATACTGTGCGTGTGCAGAAAGGACCTCATTCTCACACTGCCAGTAGTGCTCTGAAAGTAGGATCAAAGTACTTAGATGACACAGGGAGGCTGTATTCCCTGCCTACAGAAGAATTTAGAAACCACTGTAGGTAGAAATAGAGTTCTAGGTCTGAGATTTACTTAAGTTAGATGATGAAGATACCTGAGTTTGTCCCAATTTCTACCCAGGACAGACAAAACCAAGATGGGTAAATCCTAGCTTGTGTGGCTGTGTGAAGATTTTACTAGTCATGTCTAATAATGTGCTTTCTTTTTTTCTTAGGCAAAAAAAAAAAAAAAAAAAGACACGGGATACAGTTTAAACAGCATAAACATTTAAACATTAAACTGTTTAAACTTTTAATAAAATCCCACAACACCTGTTTTTAGGGAGTAGATTTCTACTTCTTTCTTCTGCATCTTTGAAATGTTTTTTAAGTAGGAAAGTATTTATGAAATTTAAAATGGATCATCATAGTCAGAATTTTGCAACCAAATGCCTATTTTTCACTGAAAGCACTTTATTTAAAGGATACACG